GTTGCGGAGCCCTTTCTTTCGTTCACTTTGATGCGGGGACCGCTTCGCCTCGTTTGAAAGCCGTGGCGGTCGAGAGTTTCAAAGGCAAAAATTCATCGGGTTTTTTTCTCGCGCGCTTATCCAGTGAAAGCTTTTTGTTCCGAGCCTTTCTTCGCTAATGATCAGCGCCCGTCTGTCCCTATTAAGCAAGCTCCACTCATTTCACGTCCTGCGTCTGAATTCGTTCTCATTCGTTGAGAAACTTTTGTTTCGGTGTAGAATTCTTCGGTGACTGTCGTATTCGGCTGCTTATCAGACAGCTGTTGGTGAGCTTCCGGCGCTGTTGCTGGTGCTTAGCGCGAGTCGCTCTCGTATTACGGCGCGTACACAGTTCCGTGGTTCTCAACTCAAATAAATCACACTCGTACATGCACACGTATCCTCACTGCGACTACTGCCAGTGAGATAATGAGCGACGAAGATATGGGAATGGCCGATCGTTAGAGCCTTTCTCGGTCGTTCAGATCGTCTGGTCGAACGAGTTCATCGACGTGGGGCGAGCGGCCGCATGATTGTCTCATATGCTCCGAATGAGAGTATATTCGACAGCCGAGGGAAAACTAGATCTGCGTGATAGTTCACGCGTCCATCTGGTCGCCGGTCAGCGGCGTGGCGTGCGTGAGAGCGTACGAGCAATCGCTACATCGGGTTCACACACGAAGCTCGAGCGACATGTCCGCCAATCGACAATTTATTGAACAGCGTTGAATCGGCTTGCGCGAGCTCTCCGATGGATCTTCGATTCGCTTGATCCGCAAGTGCTGGAGAATACCCCGAGGGCTGGTCAGCGTGATGCCCTGCGAACAGTTCGGGAATGGTCGAATGGATGAACTGTTTCCGAAGTTCGATAGAGGCCGCGCATATTACGAGTTGGAGACGACGTTTGCGGAACTGATCGTATCGCGATCAGCTGTCCTCTTGAGACTCCAATACGGGTCGGGCTTTCGGAACGACATGGTCAGCTATCGCTGATCTCATTCGCATACTCGAAGAAAAATCGCGAAATTTCAGAGCTCAGCGCCGTTCAGATCGCAGAAGGCGGATTCGAAGAAAATAATTTTTCACAAGATTCAAATCAACCCTCGAATGAGAAAAATTAAGTTTGCTGCGCGGAAGGCGCCCGTTGTCACTGGCTCAAATATCGCTCGCTTCGCGCTTTCCTCTTCCGAATTCCAATCACGAATCCCGACTCGACCGACCAGCTTGGGGGAGGAAGAAAGAGCCAGTTGGGAAAGGTTCATCGAAATTGTTTCAGACAGTCTACACGTCTACAGTGTTGGCTGTCGACTTGCGAGGAACTGCTCGGTAGAAGAGCCGCAGCCAAGTTTGTTGAGGAGGGTCTCACGAGACTCAGCCGAGGAGGTGCCGACGTCGGCCGAACAGAATGCGTCGGAGCGATGCCATTGCTCGGTGCCGCCCATCCGCCGCCCCCGTCTACTCCTTCGCTTGTTGTGTGGCTTTGAAATATTCAACCTTCGATGGATGATTCGGAGAAGCCTGTGCTCGCCGAAGCCTCAGCCAAAGATAACGCTTCATTGAGCTGCTCGCGGTTTCCGGCAAACTTTGAATCAGCTTTCCTTTGTGCACAGAGATGCTCTTTCATTCTTCCACTTTTATTCCGGCGACCCCGCAGCCCGTCTGCGGGGAACTGGTGCTGTGGATGCGGGCTCTCCGAGCGAGGCTCGCCACTAATTCACCGGGCTCTGGAGGAAGAAGTATAGATTACACGTATCTACGGAAACTTGACGTGCCGATGGAGGCGTACATTAAATAAGTCTGGAGCCCCGACTCGTTCGACTCATTCTTTCGGAATGCTCCGCTCAAACACGGAATTTCTGATGTTCGCCTTCCTCCGAGACGCTCACGACGAGATTATTTTCGTTCAGGCTCATCCAGTTTCCAAAGGTCCCGATCGTCCGGACACCTGCTCGGCTCTTCGGCCGGCAACAACTCCGAGGACGACGTTTCGGATAGCGAACAGGAGAAGGCCATCGGTTCGCGCCGCAGCTATTCTCGCGGGCCCGACACAACCACGGTTGGCGGCGGCTACGGGTGAGTCATTTTTCATTCAGTCGACAATCCGAATGCAAGTAGCAGACAAGCGACAGCGAAATCTCCTGATTCGATAAGTTTCGGATGCATCTCACACCTCAGTGCGTCCCTGACGAGACAAGCCTGACGCAACCCGACGCATGCCGCAATCCCGTCCCTAATATTCCTTTTCACTGCGAATGTGAGACGTCGTCAGAGTGGATGGCTCGCGCTCGTCCGCTGATCGATTTCCGTGAATGATACACTGTAGATGTGCCAAGTTGCCACATGTATGCAGATGTTTTGCCCAGTGATTTTCTGAGAGGTAGGGTCTATCATTCACCTATTATTCCAAATATTAGGTACTTGAACCCTTTAGGCTTCTATGCAGATTTAAAATGTGATTCTTCACACTAGGGGTGAGTGATGAGCGGTAGGTGGTCGAAGGATGAGCATTCGATGAGCCGGTTCTCGCCCGGACCAGGTAGCGCTCAGCATGCGGAACAATGAGCGACGTCGGGGAAATATCCGAGAGAAACCCAATAGTTATCGAATCGGAGCGCATGATTGAATCAAGTCTCCTCTCCCGAAGTTAGATGCAACTGGATATTTGAACTCGTACCCAGAGCGGGGCCCGTTTGCCCCGAATGAGCGCTCCGCGCTAGTTTGTAATAACGCATGGGGTTCAAGAAACGTCTGAACGAATTTCGAATCTCTGATCCGATTTCCTTCTCTCTCTCTCTCTTGGTTTATATCCCAATATCGGAATCTGCCTGTTTGCCTGCCGAGATCCTTGATTAGAAGAAGCGGATCTCGTCCTCTGAGTCCACACCTCTCGTTGAGGAGAGACCTTCTCTCATCGGTCGATCTTGTATTTTCAGGTATTACCCCAGGCGTTACTACAGACACAACTTTTAGATCGCTTAGATAGAGTAATATTCGTGTTCTATGTACGCTCCTCCTCGTTAGTGAAAAGAGAGAAAAAAAAACAAATACCAAGAGCTTTCCTGCCAGTTGATCGAGGTTAGTAAGCAATACCTGCACTGCTGTCGTCTACTCACTCAGCGATGCCACCTCTTGACTCTCTGATGAGGGAGCCTCAGATGACCTGACTGGTTTTCGTCCTGCCTGCTGATGCCCTCTGAGGGTTCCTTGACAACTGCTATGTTGATGACCAAAGCGTTTATTCGCCCGCCCAGCAAATCCCTCGGTGCCGTGTTGGATACATTCTCATGTACATATATCCGCGAGCGACCGTTCGGGAGTCTTCAGTTCATTGAAAGAGGCGACGCGGGTTTCCCCCCCGTGCATCATTTCCCTATTCTCCTGTTCCCTCACAAAAGATCCGTACTTCGAGCTCCGCTCATCCACTCCGTAGACCCCAGCGTTGCCAAAGACGTCGTCTACTGTATCACAGGCTCCGGTGGCTTCGCAGTCACTCATGTTGTCGCCGTGGGCCGAAGACAGCCGTTCTTGAAAGGAAACTTCATTCTGAAGCGTGGGTCCTCCGACCCACCTTTCGATGCTGTTGTGTGAGGAGTCATTTTGCCGTGCCCCGGTACCAACGAAGCGCGCGAGTCGCCCCACCTCATCGAGACGACCCGAGACACCGCATGAAAAAAAAATCGGCGATTACTCGGGCCGCCATATTCGGCGCCACGCCGCGGCGTCACTCTGTCGTTGGCGAGCTCGTCGTAGTGGAATGTCATATCTCCGACGACGAACTCGAGATGGAGTCGCCGCTTGTCGTTTCCGCGAATGGAAAAAAATATCGTTCGCGGACCCGAGCCGCTCATGTTCTTTTCGTCGTGGGCACCCGCGGTCGGTCGGTGGGTCGTTCGGCCGGTCGGCTATTATCTACCTCACATCGACATGGTGCATTCACGTTTACGGCCCGGAGAAAAGAACCCGTCCTCCGTATCTGTCCTCGCATGGAGAACGAATGGCTCGACCGTTAGACAGGCAGTCTTTGTCTACATATTCAGTGCGTTGCATTTCCATGGGTACACTTGAGTCAGCCACTCACCTCACGAGACTATCCCATGGATCCTGGGGAACGGGACCGGAGTTGAATTTATTGTTGAAACCAGAGTGCGGCCGCAGACCTTCCCCGATCGAGATGGAGCTGAAAACTCGATCACGCAACTGAAAGCGTATGACCCGCGGAAATTCCGTGGAGAAGCGGCAGAAACCACATAATCAGCTCCGGCGTGGAATTCCGGCGCCGGGGACCCGGAAATCCGACCACATGGCGTGTCGGTGGAAGTCTGAGACCACGTCGATTCCAGCGGGGGGTTCCCAGAGGGAAGAAGCTCGCCGCGAGGGCGAGAACTTAAATCGACGCGGATCATGGGATAACGTGCGTTCGGATCACCACGACATTTGAGTCCGTCGGTCCGAGTCGGGAGACGGATCAGCGCGGAGTTGCAATACTTTTGTTCACGGGAGCTTATCCGGCTTAATTCGGCGGAACTCACAAAGTTCTTCTTATTAGGCTTGTAGTTGACGATGGCATGGCGTTGTCAGTCGCTGAAAAAGGACCTTCAGACGAGGCTCCACGACATCGCGAAAATATCTCCCACCTCTATTGTGCTTGCGTGAATGTGAATGCATGAAATTGCACGGGGATTCCCGCGTGATAGTCGTCGAGAACGCTGCCGTTCGTGACAACAATCCGGATCAGGGCGTCTCTCGCTTAACTTATGCCATGCTGTGCCGCGTTGTGATCCCTAACATGTTACAATGCCTGTCTTGCCAGACTCCCTCGCTTTGGCGCCGTCGTCGGTCGTTATGTCAGCAGCTATTCGGAACGGCCGGCGAACCGGATGATTTCGGTTCGGATCCCATTCAATTTCCAATGGAATAAATCGATAGATGCGAGGAATTCTCTAGAACGTTTTTTTCCCTCTCTCGTCCCTCTCCGATCCCAGCAACCCCCGGACTGCGTACATTCAGAAGGGCGAATGCAAGTTGAGCATCGGAAAGCGAGGCTCTGAGACCGGCAGCTTCACGTGGCCTCGTTCCGTGGCTGTCGGGCCTGACGGATCGCTCGTCGTCGCCGACTCGTCTAATCATCGAGTGCAGGTGTTCGACTCGAATGGGAGGTTCCTGCATGCATTCGGGAAACAAGGAAGTGCAGATGGAGAACTCGACAATCCTGCAGGAGTTGCCGTTAACAGGATCGGGCAAATAATCGTTTCGGATAGGTGAGTCGCTGCACGCGGAGTTGGTAGACAGCCGGAGCGGAACGGATTTAACGAATCTACGGGGACGATGAAAGTGACGCCGTGGATGAAGATTGCGATGAGGAAAAAGAGGAAAAACGATTGGGATGGCGAGAGTTTCCGCGATAATGTGATCGACGACGACGTGAGCGGAGGGTGCATGCCGCATTGAGCACGAAAGGTTCCGGCGGGAGAGCGTGGGCACACGTAACCGATTCCTGATGCGGTCTTTTCTCAGTGTTAATAGTTCCGCCGATCCTGAGGCATCGGTTCTCTGCTCTCAGATTTCAGCTCGGGATACCTTTACACGGCATCGAGAGGCTACCGTAATGGTCTTTGGTCACAGAGCGTCGGTCCAATCTCTCCGAAGTATCGCATTACGGAATCAAAATTGTCGCGGAAAATTGTCGGCAATAAAGGGGATCTGCGTTGCGAAAGCATTGCGGCATGGGGGAGGGTTTTCCCGGAGCTGCTGATAACAAGTACAAGTCCGATTATCCAATCCGGACGAGCTAGAGGCCGACCCCCCCTCCCAAGAGTTTCGTGAGGGAAATTATTTTCGAACGAAATCGGAGACAAACGCGGCTTCTGAATATCGGGAACTGCGGGGGGACCCGGGAAAAGCTCTTAATTACAAATTCAGAACGGTAGGTCACCGAATTTTTCTAATCCTCAGGTACAATAATCGAGTGCAGATTTTCGACGCAAGTGGACGATTCATTCGAGCTTTCGGAGGCGACGGTCGCAGCGACGGAAAATTCCAGTGCCCTTGGGGTCTCACCACAGATAGTCTAGGATTCATTTACGTCTGCGACAAAGAGAATCACCGTGTCCAGGTAAATTGAGGGAATCGGTGGGCCACGAATTCATGAGAGGAAATTTCAAGAGTTCCTCGAAATCTCGAAACTCAACAGCGTCTCGGCCGGTGCTCGCGCTCCTCCGGTGTTCGATTACACGTGATTTTCCGATCCTTCGCGTTCGCCATCCATTATCTTTATGGAAACTCACCAGTTCTCGCGTCTCGGCCCCGATTGAAACGACTCTGTGCTTCCAGTTTGTTCGCGTTTGGGGTAGAGGGAAGTTGGTAACGAACGGCCGGGTGCGCAACCGGCGTCAGCTCGAGACGAGTTTGAACCTGTCGAAAACGAGTTTAACCCGAGCTGACGTTTCTATTGACAGGTCTTTCAGTCGGATGGAAGTTTCGTAGGTAAAATGGGCAGCGTTGGATGTCGGCCCGGCTGTCTTGAACATCCGTCCTACATAGCCGTATCCAGCACCAACCGGGTAATCGTGAGTGACACCAACAATCACCGCGTCCAGGTGTTTGACGTCAACGGCAAATGTCAGTTCACGTTCGGCGCTGAGGGTTCTGAAGAAGGCCTGTTTCGATTTCCGCGAGGCATCGCCGTGGATGACCAAGGCTATATCATTGTTTCCGACTCGGGCAACAACAGAATCCAAGTTTTCCAGGTTAGAATCGAGCATCCAGCATCTCTGATTTCTTGGCGCACTTTAAGGAACGCACACGAATCATTTCTCGCGGCGGATTTATCCGCCAGCTATCAGAAGAAGGTTGATTCCGCTCCTAACCGATCGGAAATCTCATTTCGCAGCCGGACGGAAGTTTCATCAAAGCATTCGGCAGCTGGGGTGCCGAGAGCGGTAAATTTAAGGGTCTGGAGGACCTCGCTGTCAGCAGCAAAGGAGACATTGTCGCATGCGATCGGGAAAACCATCGCATTCAAGTATTCTAAAAAGTCGCAACCCGTCCCGATAGACCGAGAAGCGGTCTCCGACCGCAGATCGTCTGAATTCACTCTTTCCATTGCCATAAAGTGCCGCCATCGTTAGCGTCGAGGGTGTGGTAACGGAAAACGGCTCCTTCTCGCAACCCGATCCTTCCACGAGCATGGGAAACTCGACCAGTTGTCCATTCGCCACACAGCCCGAATATGAGAATACGTCGCCGTCATCGCCATTGAGACCTCGATGAAACTACAAGAAAATTCCACGCCGCCCTCATAGTGGGTCCCCGTGGTTTACTCGCCCGCTCGACGGATCGATCGACCGACCGACAGAGCGATATTTGGCCCCTAGGGTGAAACCCTAAAAGCTTCGATTTATTGGTCGCTCTCGTTAACGTGACGCCATTGGCCGTCTTAACGACGACGGCGGCGGCGGCGACAACGACCCTGCACTCCTTCGGCTAATCATCATGCTAGCCGCATCTCACCCGTCGTCTCTCGGCGCATCACAAGTCATCTCAAGTCGCAAAGCCACCTTCCGTCGTAGTATACGAGAATCGCATTCTCTTCCTGTTTGCGGAGCATTCAAAACCTCCTTGCTTGACTCTGGCAGTGCCCTCGCTTACGTTATGCTGTGTTGAGTGGCTTCGAGTTGCTGAAGGTACGTCGGTGTTGCTTGAGGCGCTCCGACTTGCTTCTCCGGTCGGGTACGAGCGAGGGTTGACGTCGTGCTGCTCAAGTGTGTGATAAATATGAACAACATCAGCGTCAGTCTTTTCTTGTGATTAAACGGAGCTCACGGCATCGGGTCATCCCTAAGCGGCCGTATCTTGAGAAACTCATTATGAGTGCAATCAACAAAGATATACCGAACGTACCCTAGAGAAGCCAATTTACCGATGGAGCTTATGGTTAGCCGGACGAGATCGGAGGAAAAAAACGATGTCTCGGAGAAGGCGGACCCATCAAGTATTCCAGAACCTTGCGATCCTGGGAATTCAGTTTCTCAAGCATGTCTATTCGGAATAAGAATGGGGTTTCACAGTCCCGACGCGGTCTTGCAGACCTGCGAAAACCCAAAATCGGCCCTGCTGTTTTGCCAGGAACCAATCAGAAAGTGCGATTCCGTGAGGGAGAAATGCTGAGTCTCTTGTGCATAGTTAATTTTGCAGCTTCCGCTCAATCATCTTTGCGATAATTGCCTAAATGCTGTAACAGGATAATAATGATATTCATAGTTACCTAATCAATCCATCAATCACGATTGGAATAAAAACAGATGATGCAAATTGCTCGCTCCCTCTTCTTCCTCGACCTGGCTTGGCTTTTCGAGCGATGAATCAGACGCAAGAGAATACTGGCTTTTCGTAGCTCTCGGAAGGTTGAGCCAATGCCATTCTCAGGCGCGAGACCTCTTCTCAGGGAAGGATCTCAATCCACGCACGAAATTCTAAAGTCTCGCTTCTCCGGTAGCCCTCACTCTTAGCGAGGCTTTTTAAAAGGGTTCTTATGCTGACAGTTTGCCGAAAAAAACTCCCTGTGACTCCGAGATGATGGACGAACACTGAACTGCGAGTTGATGTAGTGTTATGAATGAACGGAGAAAAGTCTAGAAAGGCGGAGATCAGAAGATTCGAGCGAACGGATCGTGGAAGGCTGGAAGCTCTGAGACGGGGCCGCAGGGAAAGGAACGGAGATTGATTCGGCCCTCGACAGCCGGGAAAAAAATATCTTTTGATGGAACTTCGAAACGAGGGACGAACTATTAGCTAAATGAGGTCGAAAGTTTCTGAATATGGGCACTGGGCATAGAAAACTCCGAGTGAGCGGATGACGGTGGCGGTTCGACACCGAGTGTCAAGGAGGGAAACGAATAATGGAACAATAGAGCAATGTATTTTTGAAATCGATGACCATGCCGGGAGGGACGATTTTTCCACCTGATCACAGACACAGCGGAGGCGAAAGACACGCCGCATGTTTCGACGTTGACCGACCTAGACCGCTTTTTCGTTCCATTTGGAGCAAAATGCAGAGACGGCTGACGCCAGGAGCATCCGGACATCCGACGAGGATTGGGAGCGACCGTTCCGCCAATGTCCCTCCTTGCCCTTTCTGAGCCGGAAGGTCTCCGTTGTAGAGGGAATACGACACCCGGAGGAATATTCGATCGCTGCTGAGGCTCCTTGGCCGTGCATGCAGTTCTTCCGGGCCCATCTCTGGGCACACCGTTCCTTTCCTCCCACTTATCCTCACGCAGAGATTAAGGAGTCGAGTCGTCATCTCTTTCTGCGGTGCTTTCACAGTCGACTAAAAATACCCTCGTTCCAACTCGCCGTTCCATTTCTGCGCTCGCTGCCCTCTTTTCTCAACTGCGAAGCGAATAGTGGTCTCTTTTTCCTCAGCTCCCATCCCTGTTGGAGCTCGCTGCCGCCCGGCTAGTCGGGAAAGGTCACGTAGTAGTACACGCTTCGGAGCTCTACGTACGAGACTCGTACTCGATTGAAACGGAATCTTCTCCGGCAGGATATCGATTTCTGTCAATGATCTCGACAGTAATAGAGTAGTAGGTCATGAATGCAATAGATTGATCAATTTTCTCCTCGAAACCTCTCTATGGTGCCGATGCGTCCCCGAGTCCAAGCTCCCGGGTTGCAAGAGTTCTCCCTTGCGAACGGAGCCGAAAAATGGGGATTCCCTTGTGCGCTTGCCGTCGGGGAGGAAACAAATGCGTGCGCACGAGGTGCGATCCTTCCTCGTGATAAACAGCCACCCTGATTACTTTTTTTTATTGTTCACCAGATACGAGCGGAGAATTATTCAAAGCACTTCCTGATTCTATACATGTAAGACGCGGCTTCCCCGCAAACAATGAGTCCGAATGATCGGCCACCGGCGCCTTGCCAACTTGCCCATCGGCCGACCGACCGACCGTCCGCCGGCGGAATCTCCAAGAAGATCATTAGCATACAGTGGCCGCTGTTGCCTCCGAGAGATTGGCGATGGATATCAGATCTCGACTTGCAGGGCGGCTGGCATGAGACTGCCGCCCGCTCCGCGTACCTGACGACCTCGCTCCGACTCGGCCGCGGCGGCGACGGTGGCAACGACGCCGATGGAGCATAGCTAAAGGCGAACGTCGGAAACCCACGAGAGCCAGAGACGAGTGGGGAGAGAGGGAGGGGAGAGAGCGGAAGATCGCATCCTTGCGGACATTTCATTAGGGTAATTGAGGTATCCAGGTGGGGCAAGCCAAGCGTCCTCGAACACCGTCTATCCTGAGTACTGCATCTGCCGCAGCCAGCAAGTCACTGACTCGCCTCGGGCAACGTCACGGGAATCGTTGCCGCCGCGTCGTGAAAACATGGTGGAATCGTATCGCTGGCCTTCATTTCGCGTGCGCTCGCGTTTCCCCCACCTCCGGTCGCTCAGATTCGGGCCCGTTCGTGTGCTCTCGGCGTTTTCTCACTCCGGAGCGCGACCCGCGTCAATTATTTCACCGGTGAAGCCTTCTCGAGTCCGAATTTTCCAGTGTTTTCTGTCCGGTTGTAATTTGCGCGCCGTTTCCCACCTGGTTCGCGTAAACATGGATATAATTGCTGCGGGAGGCTCGAGTCGCAGTGGACGAGGGTCCTCTGGGGACTTGTCGCTCGTCGTTCGCATTGAATAATGAATGATAAATGAATAAAGCTGCGAGCTTCGGGCTTTAATCGTTCTCAACCTCGCGCAACCTCTGGAGAGACAGATCCTCAAATCTTCAGAATTGCAAGACTGGTATATAGTTGCCAGAGCAACATCCGTTGATTCGATCATCCTTGGATATATTCGAACACTTCAACATTGATGGGGGGATGGGTGGCTTGACGAATCGTTCCCGGGTATCGAGGGTACCAGGAGGCCCCGATGGAAGGTTCGAGTCCTTTCCGCTTATCCGATGTCAATCGACCAGGACATAATCGACAAGCACTGGCAGCCATGCTAATTCACGCTCGAGGCTTTCGAGTCAAACAATTAGTGGGTGACACAGAACGAAACGGAACCACTCGGTATATTGATGGCGCAACGGTTTTCACGCCACTCGTTTGGTTTGTACCGAAAACGTTTGTTCTCCTGATGGCGGGATGGTGCGGTTCAGGGGGATTGGAAAACGAATGAGCAGGAGCGAAGTAGACTTGCTCTAACCAAATATATTAACCTGAGTAGGAGAGTGGAAATGCTAGTTTGCTGCGGAGGAAAACTTTGTTCAGCGGTCCACGGTCGGCGCAGGGTCGGATCGGCGAATTCTCCAAGGAACCCAGAGTTCTCCTCCTCGCTGGACTCCTCCCGTTCCCCAACTCTCATTCTTCTTTCTATACACTGGACGCTCGAGGACTCCGTGCTCGTGTTAAAACGATCCTCATGAGCAGAGATCTCTATTGGAAATTTCCCCCGATGCTTACTTGTGGCGTTTCGAGCTCGTCAAGAGAGACGAAGATGCCCCCCGTGAGTCGGGTGTTCGAGAACCTCCTCACTGCCCACCATTTTGAGTCGAATCCGATTCTGACGTGAAAGGTCCGTTGCTTGTCCTCATGACTGACAGTAAATAAAGCTCCTTGCTCTGTGGAGAGCCACGGCTACCGAAGCCGAAGAACAGTCGGGCGCTGATGAAGCGACGTTGTTGATGACCGTGAATGGAATTAACCGAAAGCTCGTTCGTTCCTATCTCCTGTTCTCTCCCAGGTTCGGTTACGGGACGGAGTCATCGTCCGACTCACCGAGGCTCTGATCCCTGAATGAATGAGCGAACGATTCATTCATTCACTCGGCAAACGGAGGTTACGAGATGCTGGAACTGCACCGGGCTCCCTAGCCCCATGGGACAGAATTGATCGAATGAGCTTGCTCTCATTGCCCCCAGCAATCATTCAGAACTTAAATATTTGTCTCCCGCCACGACCAAGATCCCGCTGTAATCTTCCGTCGGACCCTTTCCCAACTTGCGGGAAATTTCCCGACTCGATCGACCTCAT